TGTTGATGTCATGAAGGCCAACCACTGAGCCCCAATGAGTATGAACACAGGCTCCCTATCTCCAAACCAAGCACATTAGTTTTCACCACTCAACCTGTGGTTTCCGGTCACTTGTTTATGAGCTCACACTGGTCCAGAGACAAATTTTTCCCATCCCCAATCCTCCACTGTGGAAGATAAATTATTCATTTACAAGTGAAATCAGATCCCCAGCAATATTCATTTTTATTCTCAACATGTTATCTGACCCTTAGGGAATATTATGCAACCTCAGCATTGAAGCTCAGATATGTTCAATATTGTCATCTCACTCATTTTTCATTGACCAGTTCAACTACCCATAATCTGCCTCTATAATTATGGTAGTCCATATCTACATCAGATTAAAAAAACCTATATTTTATAATGATAAGGAATATGTGTTTGATATTCTACTCATCATTTTCCTTTCACCATTCAGGTGGCATCCCTCACACCCCGTCTGTCTACATCCTTCCTCCTCCATCAGATCAACTCACATTACGGGAATCTGCCACCCTTACTTGCTTGATGAAACATTTCAACCCACCTGACTTCTTTGTGAAATGGCTCCATAATGATGAGCCAGTGAGCAGTCAACATTACTTCACCAGTGAAGCCAAACAGGAGTTGAAGCAGTCTGAGGGGTACTTCGCCTATAGTATGCTGAACATCAATGAGCAGGATTGGAATTCTGGAGACACTTACACTTGCGTGGTGGGACATGAGACACTGCCTTTCAACACAACACAGAAGACCATAGACAAGAACATGGGTAAACCGAGCATTGTCAACGTCTCCTTAATGCTCTCCGATGCTGGCAGCAGTTGCTACTAACCATCGCCGTAATTCCTTCACCCATCCCCATTTCCACCAGCATCTGTTTCCCTTGTTTTGTCTCTTCCTGCTTTATTGTTGTCGTTGTTGTTTTTTCCCCAGTGGAAAGTTGGGGTGATGGCAAATACTGAAGAAAGATGTGTCAAATGTCACTAGCCACATCTTTTAGAAGGAAACAAATAGATTGCAATAAAGTCTGTTTTTCAAACCCAAAAAAAGAAATCCTGGCTTGCTGTGAGAATAATATTGATATGAAAACTATGATCAATTTTCAGTAACATCGGCATCAAATGAGACACCTACCTTACATCCCCATTCAAAAGAAAATACATCTTCTTCTAAAATTCCAACATTGACATTTTTGTCTACTATCACCTTTGTCTACTACTAAACATCCAAGGATGTTTAAAACATGAAATGTCCAGAGTTAAAGTTTCCACTTCAAGTATTGCCTTCCTTATTGCACACTTTCTTCCTTTCTGTTGCCTGGTCATTTCTTTCACAGCTTTCCTTTCATTTCTGATCAACCCAAACACATGATACATACAGTAGTGTGAGGGTGTAGAGATTTGAGTGTTGGATTACACCTCTGGGAGACAAGGGCTCAAATCCCTGCTCGGCCATTGAAACCCACTGGGTGACCTCAGGCATATCACATCGTCTCAGCAGGGTCACTTCACAGTCACAATAAATCAGAAACAACTTAATGGTACATAAAAATAAAATAATGCAGTGGTCTTTGTTCTAAACAGTTATATTCCTGGAATGGAAAAGAATTTTTTAGGAAGCTAGTTGGCACATTTCATTTTGCATTCTCTTGAGGATCTTCTGATCCCAACATCTTTGTCTAATTTTAAGAGCCATTCCACCATAGGAACCTAAAAACTACACTTTATCCATTCAGAGCCTGGCTTCATGAAACACCATGTAACAGCAGCTTAAATTATTTTATGATCGAGATGATGTCTCATTCTCTGTATGGACACAAAGGGTGGGCTATGATGCCTTTTCCAATGTCAAGGATGTTGCTATGAGATATTTCTGAGAGAACCTGAAACACATGCAAACTGGTGCATGAAAGATTTGATGAGAGCAAAATTCTTTTCATCATAATGCACAGCCACACAAATCAATAGATATCTGAGGGTATGCACAATATAACATAGATTGCATTAGCACAAGGATGACCTCTTGACAAGTTGGTCCAACTCAACTGGATTTTTCTTTTTCAAGCTAAAGCCAAGACAAATGACAGCAATAAAACAATCCACAATTAAGGTTTATCTTGATGACAACTCTCTCAAGTACAGGAATGTTAATCTATAATGCTGAAGAAAGTAGCTTTGAAAAAAATAAATTGTTTTGTCCATCATTAAAGTTCAAATCAAAGCTGGAAAAAAACTAGATGCCCAGTGAAAGGGTGAACTTGTCTATTAGTCCATGGTAAAGCATGATGGTTGAGGGAAGGGAAATCCATATGACTGATCTTGAGATATTTTTAAAAAATACTCATTTCCAGAAGCCATTCACACAAATTTATGCACATACATATTCAGGCTGTATTTCAGTCTCCTTTGATATAACTGATCTGATCAACTTTTCCACATCTTTACAAAAAGTATGTAATTCCCCAAAACACATGGAAAACTAAAAGACCTAATGCTGCTATAAGATTAAATGTCCAGTTCTAAAAACATCATTGAAGTAATGTTTATTCAAGAATTTATTTGCAATAGTCATGAGTGTGAAGTGATAATGTAGGAGAGACATATACTTCAATTGTCTCTACTCCCGTGGGAACCAAATTAAACAGATGGAGATGGATTTGGAGGCATTATACATCTATATCTTGTCTATACAGTCTTCTTTGTTGCCCAGACATAGAGAAGAATGCTCAACAATGACAATACTAAGCAAATCCTCATTCGTGTTTAATTAGTTAACCAAAAGAAAATCATCTTTGTTGTACAACTGTTGTCCTTTTCCATCCATTCTGTTATCACTTTCTTCCCAAACAAGCTATTATGACCTCAGATACACTTACCTATGTGAAATACAGAGCAAAGCAAGTGAGATGGTTCATAATCCCAGACTGGTTTGATAGTAGCTTACTATGAGATCTTTATAAATATTTTAATACATATTACATGTCTCTTCATGATAGTAAAATTCAGGGACTTTAGATTTGTCATAGATTAATTCACTGGATTACTGTTGAACTTTAACCTAATAGGTTTTGCTCAACTTCTTTCTTTGTGACTTGATTTCTACTCATACCCCATTCCATATCTGGAAATCTGATTGGATAGGTTAATTATTGTAGAGTGGGCATTGCTGTTTTCTGCAGTTCATGGCTTTATTTATTATTAATTGCCATCACAATGACTTTGACTTTTGGGAATCCCATGAATAGGAGACCTCCAGGTCACCCTCTGATTACCAGCACTTCTCAGATCACATAGACTCAGTGCCATGGCGTTCTTGATTGTGCCTATCCACCTGGAATACACTCTTCCTCATTTCCTATTGCCTTCTACTTTAGCAAGCATCATTATCTTTTCAAAAAAATGTGTCATGATTTTGCCAAAGCATGAAAGATGTGTCATGATTTGGCCAAAGCTTTATTGGCTTGCATAAACTACCTAGAGTGATTTGTTTTACACAAATCTTAATGAATTACAAACTTTCAGACCATCTTGAAGCAAAATTTGGGTTATATCTGTCTATAAAGAAAGATACAATTCCATAAGGAAAATAAGAAGAAAATGAGAGAAAGATAGACCACCACACACAAACCTATACCCAAAATAATATGTCAGTATGATGAAAAGAATGTAATGCTCTTCCTTAACAGGCCATATCTTTAATTCTTTTGTCTATAGTTCTCAATGATAGTTTGGAACAAACTACGTCCTGCAATTGTGATTTTTTTAAGTTCTTTCTGATGCTGTTTCTATGTTCAAAAGTAATAACTACAATGGCAAATTCTTCATATTTACTAAAGATAAACAATGACCTTCCAAGGAAAATAATTTCCTGGACAATCTCACACAAAAGGGTGTGGTCCATCACTATCTGTTTCCAAAGCTTCCATCACACGAAAGGTCATGACTCTAAATTATAACTCACAATTTTTGCAGATTGCAAGGTAGTACAATTTCATAAAGGAATTTTCAAAGCCACAGAAAGAAACAAAAGGAACGTATTATGATATTCTTGAGCCCTGTGCGTGGTTGAACGACAGGATCTAGCTTTCCTCTACAATCTCTGCCATGCCAATTTCTAACATGACTTTCCAACATCAGCTAAATTCTTTAAAAGACTTGACTCTCAGCTGTAGTCAATGCAGCATCGCATTGTCAAAACATTTGATGGTGGCAACACCACTCTTCAGTTATGCCATCATCTACCACTATTCAAAGGCTTCCCTAAATCAGCTCATCTCCCTTTTCTCTTCTCAGCTTCTCATTTCACTTGGCAGCATTAAGACTCGTTTGTTGCTTGTCTGAAAAATGCAATTCTGTTGCTTCCTGAACTGCTTCTTTCCCATTCTTTCCTTGCTATCCCAGTCCCCACCCTCTTCATGCTACCTTCTTTTTCTGATGCGTTATGTGCCTACATTGGAACTTTCAGCTTCTTTCCGAACTCCAGAAGAAACTGAATCCAATGTATTGTCCAAAGCTTACCTAGATGGGATCGTGGACACTGAAGAGGATGAGGAATTCCAAAACATCTCATCAGTCCTTTCCACTTTCATCATCCTCTTCCTTGTGAGCCTTTTCTACAGTGCCACCGTGACTGTCATCAAGGTACGTTAAGTGGGCCAGGAAGGGAGGATACCAATATCCAAGGTTTTGTGGTCATGCTTTCTAAGTGAGAAACAGTTCCATGTGGTAGCAGAACTCAGAAATGAGGAAAGGACTACAGTGTCAGTTGTCTCTTCATTATAGGCCTCTAAGTCCAGGCCAAGCTTCGAAGACAGGCAATATTTAGTAAATAATGTTTTCCATGTTGTCTTCACTAGTCCTCCAATTACTGGTCTTCACTCTTCCTCTGATTTCTTCCTTTCCAACTTGGTCCACTCTTTGGTATTTTTTTCCTGTCTTCACTCCATTGCCTTCTCTGCTAATTCAGTCTTTCCACCTTCCATTCTATGATTATATAGAAGTAAGTATTAATCCATAATGACGATCTAGATGCAAAAGAGTAGAGAGCTGAATGTCAGTTCCATCTGAACATTAGGAAGAACTTCTTGACTGTGAGAGCTGTTCAGCACTGGAACTCTCTGCCCCAGAGTGTGGTGGAGGCTCCTTCTTTGAAGGCTTTTAAACAGAGGCTGGATGGCCATCTGTCGGGGGTGCTTTGAATTCAATTTTGGCAGAAAGGGGTTGGACTGGATGGCCCACGAGGTCTCTTCCAACTCTATGATTCTATGAATGATGCCATATCTCCACACAACATTAATTCGTCTTCTTCTTCTCCAATTCCAGGTGAAATAGCAATGAAAGGAGTCATCTGACACTGAACAGTAGATTGCCACAAAGAGTCCATACCTTTTCACTTTCTTTCAACACTCTCATACTCAAGAATTTGACCTCTGTGTTTTATTTTTCATTCTATTACATTGTTCTCTTCCTTTGTATTGTGGTCTTAAAAATCCATTTGGACTGAATAAGATTTGAGCCAGCTGTTTACATTTTAAATCGATGGTGCAATTTTCTTCATTTATCTCCATAACTGTGTATATATATGTGTGTGTCTGTGTGTGCAATTTTTCTGTTGTTGTTATTGTTGCTGCTATTGTTACATTGGCCATAGTCTTGTTTATTGAGCAAAATATTTTAAGCCTAGTCTACTCCACAAAGAAGAGCTTACACTTTTAACTTCAAGTGCAATCATCAAAATAATTATTTTACAGTATGTACCCCAGCTATAATGTTTGTAATCTCTATTCTCCAATAAATATATATTATTCATTAAAACATTGCCTTCCCTCTCATTTGTTGTTATTACTATGGTTTTTGCATATCATTGTGATTTAATCTCAAGTAGCTGCTTCATCAGAGAAAGAGAAATATTCTTATCGTGTTTTTTAAAAATCCAGCTGGGTGAAAAGTTATCTGGTGGCACCATTACATCTAATTTATTTTAGCATGAGCTTTTGTGAGTTTTCAGATACATTGATTGAGAACAATGCCAAAGCCACAGGTATTTAAACACAGTTACATAGTAAAATTTGTCAAACCAATAACAAAATTCCTACATTTTAAGGTGGGGGTGCTCTCTTCAGATGTTGCAATTTTATTAGTATGTTATTCTCATCATTTATTGGATGATTATTCTTACCAAGAGAACTTGAGGTGTTGCTTTTAAATAGTAGCCTGTTAATGAAATTACCAAAGTTTCTATCATAGCGGAAATTTTATCAACAAATGTCTTGTGTATCTAAATAGTAGTTTTCGCATGAGATTCCTAGAAACTTTGGAATTTCTCAAACATTTATCATAGATTTCTTAATCACAAGGCCAATAATAGTGGACATGATCTCCTGAAAAACTATTTTTCGCACCATGATTATGTGGTCAGGGAAGGATTCACAGAATTAAAACTTGTGCGCCAGTTGCACCCGTATCTTGAGAAGTCAGACTTGGCTATGGTAGTCCATGCTCTGATTACATCCCAAATAGATGTATTCAATGCACTGTACATGCGGTTGCCTTTGAAGATTGTTCGGAAGCTTCAAATGGTTCAACGGGTGGCAACCAGATTGCTCACTGGAGCAGCATACAGGGAGTGTACAGCTTCACTGGCTGCTGATCTGCTAATGAGCTCAATTCAAAGTGCTGGCTTTAGACTATAAAGCCCTAATTGGTTCCAACCCAGCTTACCTGTCCAAACGTATCACCCCCTATGAACCATCTTGGAGCTTAAGATTGCCTGAGGAGACCCTGCTCTTGTTCCCACCTTCTTCACACAGGGCCTTCTCAGTGGTGGCCCCTCAGCTGTGGAACTCCCTCCCTAGGGATATTAGATCAGCCCCTTCCCTTCCAACCTTCCATAAGAAAATGAAAACATGGTTTTTTGATCAAGCCTTTTGAGATCTTGTGTAATAGATAAATATGTAATTGTGCAATTGAATATTGAAACAACTCAGACTATGACTTTGGATAAGAAGGCTAACAGTGAAGGTATTGTTTTTATGTGTTTTAAATGTCTTAATGTATGGATTTTATAATTCTATTTTAAATGTTTGTTTTAGTTGCATGGAATGGTTGCCTGGCTGTAAAGCCACCTTGAGTCCCCTTCGGGTTGGAGAAAGGCGGGGTAGAAATGTTGTAAATAAAAAAATAAATTATCCCTTAGGGACATGCAGCATTTTAAAAAGAAGTGACTTAAGTCCATTGAGGGACCTCCCTGATGAACCTGCTTCCCTCAACAGAATCAAAACGTAATTTTTCCTCCCTGCTATAATTCCCCATATACCCCCAAAAAAGTCTTTCAGAGGTCTATGAACCATCTGGTGTCAGCTCTTAAATGGAACCATGAGCTATAGGTGGAGGAATTGGGAAAGAAAGCTGAAGCGCTAGGATATAACGTCGGGTGGTTTGGGCACCACATTCTTAGGACCTCATCACACAGTAAAATACCTTTGCATACTGGTTCTGTGCTGGTACGGCTGTACCAGGAGCTCCAACTTTATTTGCTTTGTATTAAATGTATGTTTGCAGTCCTAGGTTTCAGGGAATCTGCAGATAGTTGGCTTCCTTTGGTTGCAGTCGTAGGGCAAGTCACCTGTCCATCATCGTTAAGTTTTGGTCCTGCCCCTTGCTCAGGGCAATTGGGAAGGGAAGAGAACCATTTTTAGCTAGTCTCAACAAGGAAAGCTAATGTATAGGACGTGTGCAAGCTTCCCCTGTACAAAAGCTGTACAAGAGTCTCCAAAGATTTCCAGGGAAACAGCCCTAAAGATCAAAGAACTCCAGCTGGAGAATCTACTAGCCTTACTGGTAGGTTCACTTGGCATTCGAGGCGCAATTCGACCTGGTAGCGGAACCCACATCAGTAAGAATTAGATTACAGTCAGCCTGGTAAAGTTAAAAAAGGGGATTTTCCTTTAAAGCAAAGAATTAGTTATTGAAGACAATTGCCTGTCCTTCGTGGACAAGATTAGGAAGCCACCAGTTGCAGAAAAGCCTGGAATCATTTGTTTAACTTTCTGAAGACAAGAGAAGTTTCTGTTTGATTGTTAATTAATAAAGGACTTTGTTATACTTCACAAGCCATCTAAAGACCATTTGTGGTGGAAAACCTCTGAGAACTTCTCTTCGGGGGGGCCTGGCTTCCCGCTGGGCTCAAGTCACACGTCCTATTTAAAGACAATTATTTACAGGCCCAGCGCGCCACAGAACAGGTTCCTATATGTTCCATCATACGATGCAAAGTCCATTGCATGACTAACCCATAAGAAGTTCTATGCAAAGGATCTGCAGGCAGTATCTTTCATAAGACAAGATTCCCATCATCTTCACTCATTCTTTTTCTCTCCAGAGACATGATATTTGAAGTGTGATGGTACACCCATCTATGGATCACTGGCAATTCATCCTCTGTTAACAGATTGTGGGTTTCCCATTGGGAGAAGTGGATTAGCAGATTCAACTGACCACCTAGATTAGCATTTGATGGCCTAGCAGTGCCTTGGGCAATCTTTGAAATGCTAATCTTATCTAGGTGGTCAGTTGAAACAGTCACACCTAGCTCCAACAGACAAGAGTTCTTTGCTCCACCCTGCTCATTCCACAGATATATAAACCCATTTTCCTAGTTCCAATAGACCTCACTACCTCTGAGGATGCTTGCCATAGATGCAGGCAAAACATCAGGAGAAAATGCTTCTAGAACATGGCCATATAGCCCAAAAAAACCTACAACAACCCAGTGATTCCTGCCATGAAAAGCCTTTGACAATATATGATTATTATTGTTGTTGTTGTTGTTGTTATTGTTATTGTTATTGTTGTTAGTTTAAAAGACATTATTGACAAACATGGTATCTCATGGGTAAGAGCATAATTTTCCTTCATAATGTGTCAGGGACTGGTATCATGTTGATGCATATTGTCTGGAACTCTACTTGTTTTCCTATCTTGGAAACTCTTCATTGGCTCACAGACTAGCAAAGATCCTCAGAGCCCTATTTTGAGTTGTGCTGACAAAAGTCAAATAGAATAAAATAAGGATAACATTCAACCACATTGAAATCTATGTAAGTAAAATTGAATGAAATTATTCACAGATTTGATTAATATGTTGTGTCTCTAGATATCTCTAGGTCTTCCCGGTTTAAAAAAAAGTGGGTTTTTTATTCATAATTTTTCTACTTTTGTACAGGTTCTTGCTCCCCAGCGAATGTGGAGGACTAAGTGTATCTACTAGGCATGGACAATCTGTGGTTCTAAATGGTTCTAAAGTACTTACAAAACTAGGTTGCTGGTGCTTTGCTTCTAAAGTGTTTCTAAAGTTCTGGTGGTGAAAATTTCAGAACTTTGACAAAACTTGCAAAATTTTGTTATAATTGGCAGTTCCTACTTGGTTCTGTCATAAAAATTGCCAATAACGAAATAATAATGACATTTTGAAAATTTTGTTAGAGTTCTGAAATTTTCACCACCATAACTTTAGCAACACTTCAAAAGCAATGTACTAACTTTAGAAACACTTTAGAAGCAAAGCACAGCGTCCTTTGCTTTTGTAAGTATTTTAGAACCTTTTTTTGTGTGTGTGTGTCGTGTCAGGAGCATCCTGTTGTGAGAGAATTGGCTGTCTGCAAGGACGTTGCCCAGGGGACGCCCAGATGATTTTGATGTTTTTATCATCCTTGTGCGAGGCTTCTCTCATGTCCCCGCATGAGGAGCTGGAGCTGATAGAGGGAGCTCATCCGCCTCTCCCCGGATTCGAACCTGCGACCTGTCGGTCTTCAGTCCTGCCTTCACAGGGCTTTAACCCACTGCGCCACCCATTTAGAACCATGGATTGCCCATGCCTAGTATCTACTAGGACGTTATGTAATGTGTATTGAGTGGAGGGGGGCAGAAAATGGAAAATACTTACCAAAGTCTTCTAAGGGTGCATCTACACTGTAGAATTAATGCAACTCCCATGCTTCCCTAGTATTGAGCCACAACAGTTAAAGTGGTGTCAAACTGCATTAATAGTATTGAGGCCGATGAGTTGGAATGACTAATTTAGTGTAAATTGCAAACTATTCAGGATTTGTTTCTGTTGTCTTGTGTTTTTGCCATTACCATGCATGTCTTTTGTACTTTCCTACAGAAGACAATGAAGCTCCTGCTCTGTTCCCTCTGCTGTCCTGCTGCAACTCTGAAATGAGGGCATCCCAAGAAAGAGTAATGTTTGGCTGCCTCCTTGCTGGATTTCCTTTAGAGGCTTTAGATATTGAATGGGAACCTGATGGTGATGAGAAGACGCATTTCCCACCTGTGATCCAAAATGGACAAAAGCCATACCGTTCCAGCAGGGTGTCTGTTGCTGTCTCTAAGTTTACAACAACACCATACACGTGCAAAGTAAAGCATTCCACTGGTTCCAAAGAGAACGGACCCTCAGTAACCATCAAATATGAAGGTAAGGTGATTCCCAGGTGCCCATATAACAAACTGACCACACCACGTACAAAGAGAAATGTCAAACAGGTGTACTTTACTTACTTAGGCGATCCCTCGTAGCTCAAGGATGATGGTCTTCCAGATGTGCTGTCTTGGTGGTGGGTCTGAAGGTGGTTGTGGAGCCCTATTCTTGATCCGCATGTTCTCCCGCAGTGAAGACATCGGTTTCCAGATGGAAGCCGGTCCTGGTCAGGGTTGGCTTGGCACGCCTTCCTCTTGGCACATTTCTCTCTTTCACCCTCCATTCGTGCCTCTTCGAATTCTGCAGCACTGCTGGTCACAGCTGACCTCCAGCTAGAGCAGTCAAGGGCCAGGGCTTCCCAGTTTTTGGTGTCTATGACACTTTTTTAAAGGTTGGCTTTAAACCCATCTTTAAATCTCTCTTCCTGTCCACCAACATTATGTTTCCTTTTCAGAATAGAGTAACTGCTTTGGGAGACAGTGATCAAGTATTCGAGCAACATGTAAAATCTAAAGCAAAAGAAAAGAGGATTGTGCTCAGTTTTTAAATCTGACACTGCTGGGGCCAAATAATAGGTGAAGCTGTATATGTAGTATATGACATATATATAGCACTTTTTTCAACTGTGGATACAATATAGAGTAGTGAGGCAAATAGGGAAACATTTTGCTCCCAAAATACTGTGAGGAGATTTCCAAAACAGCGACGAAGTACTGCTTCAGCACCTGAATGTAACTTCCAGCCACCTAAAATAGTATCTATAGGGGATCAAAGAAACCCTACATGGTACTCTGAGCCTTGAATTGAAGCTCAGATGTGTGGCAACCATATGTAGAATAGCTTCAGACAGACATATTCTTAACATTCTCTCTGCCAGCTTTTAACCAGAACTTGAAAGGCTGGTTTTAATTGGACATGTTGAAGTGCTTTTAAACGTACTTTATTTGTTAGGTTCTGTCTATATTTTTTAGTGCCTGTTTTATTTCTGTACTAGCTTGGGTACCTGGTGGTGCCCAGGTTATTTAAAAAGACATTGTTTGTTTTGGGGTGTTCGGTAATATCATTTACTTAATTCATAACACTATTTATTAGGAAAAAGCCAGTCTTTGATTTCATTTTTATGATGCTCCCATTAGAAAAAACATAAATGTGAGTGAACTATAATTCCCAGAATTGTGGGGCAATCTTCCCCAAACCAGGTCTATATGCACAGTTGACCATGTTACCAAGTTTGGACCAGATCTGCCATCGGCTGGGTTCAGTGCTGTCTGGATATGGGTGAAACTACCATTCCCACATGCCAAGGGTAGTCACCCCCAAATCCTGCCAATATTTACCGTTGGCCATGTTGGGTCTGTGTGCCAAGTGTGGTCCAGATCTGTCGTCAGCTGGGTTCAATGCTCTCGGGATGCAGGTGAACAACACCTTCCAAAATCAAGGTCATTTTGACCAAATCCCTGCAGTATGTTCAGTTGTGCCAAGTTTGGTCCAGGTCCATTGTCAGACCCGTCCAGTCTGTTCAGTTGCTGATCAATTCCTCTGTGTTTGCTGTGTGTCATAGAAAAGGGTAGGAAAAGGTTAAAAGAGAGGCAGTGGGTGGGGTCATGCAAATTTCACACAAGGAACCCTGGGATACATGCTTGTGGTGGAGGAAACACATCAAATGTAGTATGAAATTCTCCCCAAATGAAAGCATTCCTTGGGTGGTGGGCCATAGTGTTTGGGGAGGACATTGGCAGGGTTTGGACTACACGTTCATGGTGCTCACTATAGCCTGCAATGTTGAGGGAATGCCTTTGAGTTGAGGGAATGCCTTTGGAGGCTTCTCAGCACTTGGAACTATAGCCCGTTTATGGAGGTGGGAGGCTGTCTGTGTAAGGGGACACCTCCATCACATAAACATTTATTATGTGTATAGATTATAGCAATTGAAGTATCTCATATATGTATTTATTAGAAAGTGTTCAATGTATTGATGTTCCTATTGTCAGCATTTTTTCCTACCCTTTATTCTCAGATTGCATTGGGCAAAGCCCAAAGCCAGTCCAAGTTCAGATCTTAACCCCCAACTGCGGTGAACAGGAGACAGAGGCCAGCCTGGAGCTAGTATGTCTCCTTCGGAGTCTCGGTCCCGGAAAAGCCAGCATGGAATGGTTGATAAATGGAGAAGTGGAGCCAAAGAAAGTGGAGGCAGAACTGACTGCCGATAAAGACAATGGTTTCTCCAGCTTTGTCCGCCGGAATATCAGCAAAGACAGCTGGGAGAACGGGGACCGATATACCTGTAAAGTGACTCGCCCACCGGGCAGCCAGAATGTGACAATGTACAACACCAGCAAGTGCCAGGGTGAGCATTGGCAGCAATAAGGATAGATGAGGAGTGACAGGTGCCTGGGGAAAAAAAACAAATGAGCAATTGACATGATCAGGGTGGGTTATTCAAAACTGTCCAGGTTGTGAACAGCAAAGTTTGGCAGGTTCTAGATCTGAGACCCACACTAGACTACACTTCCAACATCTAGCAGCAGCTGTTCATATATTCGGTTTATACTGGAGAGGAGAAGCAGGCCAAATCACAGAACCATAGAGTTGGGCCATTCAGTGCAAAAGCCTGGAGAAAAACACAATCAAAGCACCCCTAAAAGATAGCCATCCAACCTCTGTTCAAAAGTCTCCAAAGAAGAAGCTTCCACCAGACTCCCAGGAAGTGAGTTCCACTGTCAAACAGCTCTTATGGACAGGAAGTTCTTTTGAATATTCAGGTGGCATCTCCTTTCCTATAATCCGAACCTATGGCACCATTGAGTCCTAGTCTCCAAAATTCAATGTCAACAAGTCTGCTGCCTCTTCCTCATGACATCCTTTCAAATATTTTATTTATTTATTTGCAGTATTTATATACCGCTTTTCTCAACCCTTAGAGGACTCAAAGCGGTTTAACTATGGTGATCATGTCTTCTCTCAATTATCTCTTCTGCTGGCAAAACTTATCCATCTCTTTAAGTTGCTCATCATAGAGCATGGTTTCCAGACCTTTGATCATTTCAGTCACCATCCTCTATATTCAGAGTATGATGAGAACCTGAGAATTGAGTACACATGAGCTTTAAGCTTTCCTGTCCTTCCAATTCTGCTCCCAGCCTGGATACACGTCTTCACAACTACTAATTTTACTATCAAAAGTGATCCCATCTGTCAGGAGTGTTTTGATTGTGTCCTCCTGCATGGCAGAATAGGGATGGATTATATTCTGCTTTGGTCAGACTCCACCTGGAATATGGGGACGTAGACAAGAAGGACGTAGACAAGCTGGAACGTGTCCAGAGGAGGGCAACCAAAATGGTCAAAGGTCTGGATACCAAGCCCTTTGAGGCGTAGCTTAAGGTGCCGGGTATATTTAGCCTCCATGAGGTAACGTTAAGTGATGCCATAACAGCCATGTTTCACTATGAAAGTATGACATCATGAGGAGGGAACCAGCTTGTTTTCTAAGCAATAAATTTATACAATAGAAAAAAGGATTCCACCTAAGAGTTAGGAAAAACCTCTTGGAAGTAGGAGGTATTCAACAGTGGAATTCACTGCTTTCGAATGTGGTGGACTCCTCCTTCTCTGGGCTTGTTAAACAAAATCTGCCTCATCTGTCAGGAGTGCTTTGATTGTGTCCTCCTGCATGGCAGAATAGGGATGGACTGGACAGAATATTGTAATTCTCTGATAAGCATATTGAGGTGGGAGTAATTTCCTTATGCATCTAATGTAAATGATTAATACCTACTCCAGAAGGCTAAGGAACTCCTCCTGGAGACAGTTTCGGATAGAACATTCATTAAGAACATTGGTTCTCAACCTGGAGTCCCCAGATGTTTTTGGCCTAAAACTCCCAAAAATCCCAGCCAGTTTACTAGCTGTTAGGATTTCTGGGAATTGAAGGCCAAAAACATCTGGGGACCCCAGGCTGAGAACCACTGATTTATAACGAAGGAAGAAGAGAAGAGAACATTATGTTCTGGATGCAGAGAGAGGAGACCCACCTCCTTTATTTATTTATTTATTTATTTATTTATTTATTTATCGTATCAGGAGCGAACCAAACAGTTGTACTGTATTTTAAAACAAAAAAACAAATGTCCTTTGCCCAGTAGCTGGCCACTTGGAGTGCCTCTGGTGCTGCTTTAAGTAGGTGGCAGGGCTCAGCCTGCATTGCAGTAGGTGGTCTGTGGTTTGCTCTTCTCCACACTCGCATGTCGTGGACTCCACTTTGTAGCCCCATTTCTTAAGGTTGGCTCTGCATCTCGTGGTGCCAGAGTACAGTCTGTTCAGCGCCTTCCAAGTCACTGAATTTTCTGTGTGCACAGGAAGTAGTCTCTCATTTGGTATCAGCCATTGATTGAGGTTCTGGGTTTTAGCCTGCCACTTTTGGACTCTCGCTTGCTGAGGTGTTCCAGCGAGTGTCTCTGTAGATCTTAGAAAACTATTTCTTGATTTAAGTCGTTGGCGTGCTGGCTGATATCCAAACAGGGGATGGGCGAGATGTCACTGCCTTGGTCCTTTCACTATTGGTTGCTACTTCCCAGCAGATGTCAGGTGGTGCAATACCGGCTAAGCAGTGTAATTTCTCCAGTGGTGTAGGGCGCAGACACCCCATGATAATGTGGCATGTCTCATTAAGAGCCACATCCACTGTTTCAGCGTGGTGAGATCTGTTCCACACTGGGCATGCATACTCAGCAGCTGAGTGTGCTTGCCCAGTGTGGAACAGATCTCACCCATCTCCTTGACTCACTAATGTTGCTGCTTCTATCAACAGATGTATATAATTGCATCCTATTGTTTCTAACCAGTCACTTTCTCCAGGGCAAGATTTTTTAAAAAGGAAATAAATACTTGTGACCATATTACAAAGGGCAAAGACTGCCAAGAACCATAATAAAAATGGAAGTCGGGGTTGCAAAAAGCAACACTACTTGGAACACCACATTATCTGGAGATATTTCACTGATTCTTAATTCCTTAATACAATCTGAATTAACAGTGGTCCAAAACCCCAATTAGTTCTTGGAATTACATTACTCATGCATAGGATTTGGGCTAAAAATAATATATTATATATAATAAACTAATATATTCTCTCTCTCTCTCTCTCCCTCTCCCTCTCTCTCTTGGATTGTACCCCAGCTTGCTTAGTGAGACAACCTATTGTCTCCATCACAAAGCCTTCCTATAGAAAGCTGCTTGAAGGGACAGCAAGAGTCATGTGCTCTGTGGTTGGACCCAATCTTGGAAACATCCAAATAAGCTGGCATGTAGATGGCAAACCCAGCCCTCAAGGCCGCTTGGAGAAGACAGAAGCTAACGGAAATCAACATGTGATAAGTACCCACCCGGTATCTATGGAACAATGGAAAAAGGGCACCACCTTCTCTTGTGAAATAGGTGGACATTGCTATGAAAATGACGTCAAAAAAGTAATCATCAAAAATGACACACGTGAGTGCGGATATCTGGACCTAACTGCTGAGCTATAAGGAGGAGGATTTTCAAATAGTATCATTATCTGGAGCAGAAATACTGTCCATACTGTCCATTTTAGTCAGAATTGACTCAGACAAACCTGGGTTGACTATAGTGTTTGTTCATTCAGACTGAGGACAACATCATATGAACTCTTTTTGATATCAATTATATTACTGCCCAGCCAACTCTGAATGGCTACCTGAATATTGAGAATTCATAGATACAAGGCAGCACCCTATTCATTATGCAATTGCTAAAGGATTGGATACTAGGGTTGTGCATTCAAGATAAACCCTGCCCTGTTTTGTGTCCCATCCCCAATATGTTTTTTTGGAACCCTCCTGAAATTGGGAGGGTAGATATTTGTTTTCAGTTTGGGGTCCCAAAAATCAGACCATTATTTGGGGAGGGGCTTCCCCACCCACTGGCTCCCCTTCCCAATATGCAAATTTCCATTCTTCTTACCTGGCACCTGCTGTTTCTACTCTACAGTAAGAGGCACTCAGCTACAGCTGTGCTCCGGGCCTACCTGCACACCGCACCATACACGCACTCTCAGAGGCCCAGAACATGCCTGCAGCCTGCTCTGGGCCTACCTGCACTCCACGCCATACACACTTTTGTGGCGGGGCATGCAGGTAGGCTCAGAGTGTGCCTGCAGCCGAGCTCTGGGCCTACCTGCACTCCATGCCATACACACTTTTGTGGCGGGGCATGCAGGTAGGCTCAGAGTGTGCCTGCAGCCGAGCTCTGGGCCTACCTGTACTCCATGCCATACACACTTTTGTGGCGGGGCATGCAGGTAGGCTCAAAGTGTGCCTGCAGCCAAGCCCTGGGCCTTCCTGCAATCCACGCCATACTCACATTTGTAGCGGGGCATGCAGGTAAGCTCAGAGTGTGCCTGCAGCTGAGCTCTGGGCCTACCAGCACTCCACGCCATACACACTTTTGTGGCGGGGCATGCAGGTAGGCTCAGAGTGTGCCTGCAGCCAAGCTCTGGGCTTACCTGCACCCCCCGACACACACGCACTCTCTTTCCAAGGCAATGAAGCAAGTTTGACTGCACATGAAATCAAGCTTTCATGTTGAGAAGATTTCCATGCAGGGAGGTGGTTCCCATTCTGTGTTCCCAAAGAAATTGAAGACACGAAAGAAATGGGTAAGGATTAATTCTGCACACAACTCTACTGGATACATATGAGAAAGGTTAAAGATAGGAGCAGTCAGCATGAAAATTGACAACAGAGAGGAAAAACAATGACAGTGGTCAGCCATGGAAAAAACAGATTTATGAATGTATTCAGGAAACATTAGGGCTCTCAAAAGACAACTTGCACCATTGAAATGTTTGGCAGACATTTGAAGATTGTGTTTCTCTGATTTTTAATTATTTAGATTACAGACTGTTAGGAGAGTGATATGCATGGTTTTATAATTAACAGCTTTGCACCAAAATGTATCTCTCTTTCTTGGTTCCATTTAGATACTACAAAGCCCTCTGTTGCCATTTCTCGAGCTCCCCTTGACATCTCACTCAAGAATGCTGTGGCTTTGATTCTAATCTGTGACGTGAGTGGGTTTTACCCAGAGGAAATTAGTATCTCATGGAAGAAAAATGGCACACCCTTGAATGAGACCCTGTACAACAATGGGATGACAACGGCGGCTGGGAACGTCTATTCCACCTATAGTATTCTGAACATTGGGAGAGATGAACCAGGGGGCAAGGGTGGCAGCTATAGCTGTGTGGTCCACCATTCCTCTTCTGATAAGCCCATCTCCGCCAGTGAAAATGTGCCCATGGGTAAGTACAGGATGAAATTTACTATGCATGTGCCAACCAGATTAGCCCACCTACAACTTTTGTTCTGCCTGGAAATAAATGGTAAGTAAGCCTAGAGCATGGTCTCATGAAATCAGTAACAGTGTCACTCAGATTGGTTTTTCTTCTAAATTTCAACTATCAAAGGGTTATGATGGGAATGCTTCCTTTTTGAAACAAGTCCAGCAAATAGATAGGGCCAAGGGGGCAAATCGTGGATCAAATACTTTATATGGCAAACTGCTAGCTATCTCTACCCAGGCAGAGCAATATCTTTCCCACTCGTTGCTTTACCAGCTTTTGGGTTAATTTGACTAGATGTCATTTAATTGGAATCCCACTGCAGAAAGTTGGAGGCAGATTTCATGAAATTCTTAGGAAATACCAGCAATGCCCATTTGGCTGAAGGGTTAAATTGAATTCATTTTTGAGAATGTAAAATATGCCGATTTAAGGTCTGGAATCACTTCTGAAAAAGAAGAGATTTCAAAGGTTAAAGCTGATTAAATTGGCTAGTGGAACCTCTGGGGTAGGTACTGAGGTTAGAAAGATCAGAAGAGCCCAGTTGAAGGGCAAGGTCTATGGGATAAGGCAAAAGGGGCATAGGATTCAATCATTCTTGCACATGTTCTTAACTTCTTGTGCCAGTGCAGTCTTTCATAAGGTAATGTCACACTCATAACATAACCACTGATATAGCTGTAGAGAAAAAGCCACCTGCATCCTGCAAGACTTGGCATGATTCAGAGGAGTTTTCTATCTCCTTCCACAGTAATAAACTGTACCAGATTCAGATTATTAAGAACACCTACAAATTCTCTTATTCTTGATCTGGAAAACATCACAATTATACTGTGACATTCTACCAAAACAAATATCACTCGTTTCTTATATAATTAAAAATTTGGGGGGACAAAATTGTGATTTTTGTTAATAATCCAGAACTTCTGAGTATTTGAACAGCTTATTTATTGGGTTGT